GGCTGCCATTACAGGACCCAGAAATCTCTGTTTACGCTAAACGGATGAAGAGAGGTCAGTCCCCCCAGGGGTGTGAGCGAGGAGGCTCTTGGCTACTAACCCAAAAGGGCAGCGGTTCGAATCCACCCGAGGTACCTGTGAGGAAAGGCCTGGCGGTCTGCTTCCAAAATCTCACAGCTACAGAGCACGCTTCTACTCTGGTACACACGGGGGCCTCCAGAAGCTCGCGCGCGGGGACAGGGAGAGAAAAGACAGTGAGTGGGTACCAGGTTTGAATGGTGGGAGCCGGATCTAGGTTAAGCTGGCATATTCAAAGCCCCCAGGGAGAAAGACCATCCGTTGAGGCCACAGCACTGGGAGGGTAACACTGGCTGATAGTAGGGTGGCATTTATGGAGTCTGACTTAACAGTACATCCCCACTAGCTCCCATCCTCATCTCTGCACACTAGGGACCCCGAATGTGGGGAGGGAGGGGAGCCCTAGGAAGTTCGGGAAAAATACCATTCCCTTTAAATTCCACTTCTCCAGGAGCTTTGCAAAGCACCCCCGTAGATCCCGCAGGCCTTTAGACATAAAAGAGGTTTCTCTTTAAGGCATGCGCTACAGTACAAAAATATATTTTTCCCACATACAAAAGAGAACAGAGTGGGGTGTGGAAGGGAGGGTCAAACACCCTACAAACATGCATGGAATGATCAGAGTTAAGAACAGATCACAGCAAGCATCAGGACTTCTGCCAGATGTCCCAGCATCCTCAACCCCCACATGGTGCCAGGACGTGACCGTCGGCCCTTCCATGAGAAGTGCAGACACCTTGAATCTCCAGCACATCAAAGTATTAGATGGTCCTCAGCACTGATGCGATTTGGAACATGCGTTGCATGTTCTCTAGCCAGTGCCCGTGGCCTTGATCCATCAATGTGTCAGTGCTCAGATGCATGGGCACCTGCCGAGATGGCCCGGACATTAAGGGGCTTCCCCATCTCTCAGTGTTACTCAGGACCTTTTGGGTGCAGTGCACAGGGTGGGAGACTCAGTCTAAACCCAAAAAAAGACCAAACTCACCACCTTCCCAGTCAATCCCAACTCATGGCAACCCTAGAAGACAGGGTAGAACTGCCCCTGTGGGTTTCGGAGAATATAACTCTTTACGAGAGTAGAAAGCCTCATTTTTCTACCAGGGTGGTTTCAAACCGGTTAGCAGCCCACAGTTCAACCGCTGTATCACCAGAGCTCGTTATACTCAATCCAGTGACAAAGACTTTAAACCCGGGCATCTCACAACCAGGAACACATAGGAGAGGAACCGAGAGGAGGCAGGACCTGGAACCCAGGAAGACCTAGCCCTCTGCTTCCATAGGGATGAGAGCCAAGAGAACCCCAGGGGACTGTCGGAATCCACTCCGGAGGCCCTGGCGATGCCCAGGGTGAACAGGAGGGAAGCTGGCGGTGAGTCTACTCAGAGGGGCCTTGGAAGGTCTAGCCATCTCCTGGAAAAGCAGCCCCTCCCTGCCTGATGGAGCCCCATTCCAGTTGACACAGTGAGAGGACGCAGCAGGATTCGGGAGAGTCCAGGTCCCTTTGCGTGCACCTGAAGGAAAGCGAACCTGCCCAGAGCCTCAAAGTTATGGCTCC